TCGGATTTCGTGTACGGGGCGTGTAACCACGTCTATTTCTGTACATTTAGTTGTCACGACGCGTACAGTGATATTAGACGCGACGCCTATAATTGGTTCTCTGACAGTGAGAGAGACAATTATTTATTTGACATTTGACCCTTCTTACACCAATTAATTTCTACACATATAGTAAGACATCTATACGCGTTTACGTGTGCACATACCTTTGATCCAATAAGGCGTATGAGGGCACACAACTATTCACGCTACATATACTGTATTCTGAGTTACATTGTTGCTATTGTATTCCTCATTTTAACTGAGGTAGGGAGACAGTGGGACTATATCTTACAACCCGTTCACGGAAACGACACGGTCGTGAATCACACTACAGAACAGTGTCTGCCACGTGCACCGCCACACATGTGTGAGTCAATACCAGACTATGGGTCCACGTCGTTTACACGAAAAATATCTGAGCTTTAAGTATATTTACCACATCGCTATGGGTCTTAAATCAATCTATCCTGCATTCTATGTTGCACCTAACAATCCCACTATCGCTGTGCCCGAGACTAGCGATTTTACGGGTGAGAGTCTGATGACGAGTGACCAGTACCGTCGCCATGTTAAGAAACACGAGATGCTGTTGCCACAGCAACAGATGATGGGCGAGAGACGAGGAGCACAGAACACAAAGCGTTATGTTGGTACACAGCCCTTTTAAGTGGTTTGTGGTTGCTAGGTATGTGATACATAATAAAATCTACGTATTCAAGTAGACAGTATACTTACTTACCTACTCGGTATTAAATTACATACTATGCGTGGATCTACAATTGAAAAGATCGATTCAACATCACCAAACACTGCCGGTCAACAGGCGGCGTCTACACAAGGCGACTCTATTGAGCGGCCTGTGGCAAACGACTTTACGCGCAATGATCGTCTGTTTGCAGGTTACTTTGGCATGACACCGGCAGCCCTGACCAACGATAGCACTCAGAGACTTATGCATTATGCACCTGTGCCCCAACTTAACAGTCTAGATACAAAGAGCGGTTGGAAGAACCCCATGTTTGAGAATCCAATGCGTACACATATCCCACAGAGTGGTGTAAACACTGGTCGCCCAGTTCACTGGCAACGTGTAACTATGTATGACGGAGTCAAGTTCCCCACGGCACCATAATACCACAGGTCATGAAAGTAACACGCCCACTGGCTTTATTTCGTTTTTCAGGTTACTGCTACTACGTCATTATGGAATTCTGGGATGACGCGACTGTGCTTGCACGGTTTGATGAAATTCTGACTGCCGTGAACCATCCTAAAGCAATCTGCGAACCAAAAACCTGGGACGCGTCGACGGAATTTAAACAGGGTCCTGCGGAATGCTACGGTGGTGCCACTATTGAGTACGGGCCTACAGGTGGATTTGCGACATGTAACAAACAAACAGCCATGTTTAATATGCGGCCCAAATCTCGCTATAAACGTGTTGTACACTTTAAACGGTTGCTAAGAGACGTGATGGGTGTAACATACTCTATCCACGATCTACCTGACGAGTACTTTAATTACCTGGCAGCACACCCTGACGAAGTTGTCCGTACAGTTGATGATGTACGG